GAAAGGATACAACCCTGACACACTCCCTTCTTGATTTTAAACCATGTAGTGTCCCCTTGTTCTGTTCAAACGACAACCTCCTAGTCAAGGTACAGTTTCCTCATGAGTATTTCTCCTTTATTTTCATTAACCTCCAAGTAATATTCAACATTTCATTTGATTATGAATGTAGGCAACCAAACCACAGTAGTATCACCAGTATCTCCTACTTTATCTCCTATGAGAAATGTAGACATTTTTTTTTCATATTATGGTTGTTATAGATATCTAACATATATGTGTTGTTGAAATATGTTGAAATATGTGTGCACATGACTTCCTTGAAGTTATGGTAGTTACAATGCTCACTTCTAGATCTCTTTACTAAATGTATTAATTAAAAGTCTGTATTTTACCATAGAGTAAATTTTTATGATAGTATAATTGTTTTTTTTTTTTTTTAAATATACTCTTGTATATTTAAGATGGTATTCTGAGAAAGATTTTTAAAAGGACATGAAAACTTTTAAGAGCCCTGACCTTAGATCTCTAACCTCACAGCTTTAAATCCCAGATTTATATTTCCTTCCATAACCTCTCTTTTCAGCTACCAAATTCCATGTCTAATTGCCTATTCAAAATTTCCTCTTACATGTTTAATCAGTACTTGAAAGCTAACATGCCAAAACCAAGTTCCTGATTCTTACCAAAACCTGTGCCTCTTACAATTCCTCCCTCAGTAAAATGAAACTCCATCTTCCCAGTTGCTCAGGCCAAAAACCATGGAGTCACCTCTGACTCCTCTCTTTCTTGTGCTACACCTGATCTAGAGGCAATCTCATTGACTCTATTTTCTAATAGAACCCACCCTATTAGGTAGGATCCAACTACTTCTCACTAGTTCCATACTTTCCATACTAGCCCAAGCTAACATCTTCTCATGCCTGGATTGTTGCAATACTAACCTAATGGCATTCACTGCTTTTACCACTGTCCCTTACCACCCAATTCTAATGCACACACACACACACACACACACACAGTTTATTATCAAAACATCAGCCAAAGTGATCCTGTAAAACACATTAATCAGACCATGATACTCCTCTTCTTAGAACTTTTCAATGGCTTTCCAATTCACAGCAAAAGCCAAAATCTTTACAGTGTCACAGGAAGCCTCAATCATTTGACCCCTACCTCCCTCTATGACCTAAGTCCCACTGCTTACTCCTTGTTCCACTCCAACCACTCCTTGTTATTCCTCCCATACACCAAGGGTGCTTCTACCTCTTGGACTTTGTACTTGCCATTCCTTGTGCCTAGATAGAATGCTCTTTTTCAGAAGGCTTGCTTCTTTATATAACCAAACCAAACCAAACGCACTGCCATCGAGTCGGATCCAACTCATAGCGACCTCTCCTTGGATTTCCGAGGTGGTATCACTACGGAAGTAGATTGCCCAACCTGCCTTCCAAGGAGTGACTGGTGGCTTTGAGCCGTCAGCCTTCTGGTTAGCAGTCTAATGCCTTAGGCACTATGCCACCAGAGCTCCTGCTCCTTTATATATAAAGTACTTATTCTATCATATTCCACCATTTTCATTCTTTCTTTTTCACTATAGCACTCATCATCACCTGACATTTTACTAGTTACATTTTATTGCCTTTCTCTCCCCATTAGAATGGAGCCTGTATGTAGGAAGGGACATTTTGTCTCTTCTGATCGTTGCTGTGTCTTCCCATTGCCTGGCACCTATAGATAATAATTATTTGTCAAATAAACCATTTATTTTACTCATTATAGGC